ATTTAACACTAATAGGGAGAACATTGCATAAGTTAGCACCAATTTTCCAGCAAGAAATTTGTAAGAGATTTTGCAAACAGGAGAAAATACTTTGCTAAAAATGTTGACAAAAGTGATTATGTGATCCATGATAATGAGTGTAAGAGCTTTGTTGTGATTTAAAATTGTATCAGGGTATTATACATACGACATTTTTTTTTGATGACCGAGAAATCCGTCTGGGGCCGTTCCTTTGGACCAACCGCAGCCTTCGAAACTCGGTGGATAATGGGCCAGCCCCTCTACCCTTCTCCACTTAAATACCAGGCTTTACTTTGCATGGTGTGGGGGCTTGAACCTGTGACCTAAGACACAAATCCACCACCCTTTGCCACTTGAGCTAGGCCCTGGGGGCTATACATACGACTTTTTTTAAAATGGTTTGAAGCATTATGAATCTTAAGTAGCATTTTAAAAAGATGAATTATAAAACATTAAATATAGTATACGGCCTTTATTTCATGTATGTTTTTGCTAGATTATAGTCCCTCATTTACATACCATATCGAGGTATTTGGAGACCAAAGTTCAATTTTTACGATAATATCATGTGATTGTTAATAAATCACATTTGATTTGCAACATTTTAGAGATGCAAAGGCCATATATATTCTCTAATATATCTTCTATATATCTTGAAGGATCGAGTGAATATTATATTACTGAATTTAAATACTAGAAAATTTTTGTTGCTTGCCTAAATATGCCTAGGCCCGAATATCAAGGTATTGTCCGCTTTGGCCCCACCCCTCTAGGTCATGGTAGGTGGTATCAGAGCTGGTACCTCGTCTAGTACGAGGGTGGGGCAAACCTCAGCGAGTACGCTGAGTTCCTATTGGAGGTGAATGTAACAACATGGTTCAACTCTGTTCATTGCGACACTTGTCTTAGGCAAATCCTACGTCGGAATGAGAGAGGAAAGTTTGAGCCATATAAGGTTAGGATTCAAGTGTTAAGGTGCCTTAAAGCCCAAGGGGACAAACTCGTGAGGTCCCAAAGATTGGTTCAGAGCGAACAATACCTTGAAACTGGATTTCGGCTGGTATAGACGTATTAAACTCTATCAAATGTGAATGAAATGCAGAAATTAATGGCTAAAGGAGAGGCAAAGTAAGTCAGCAACTAACAAGAGAATTGGGGAGATCGGAAATTTTCGTAGTTAGAAGAATTAAAGAAAAATACCGCACTGCATCCAGTAAGTCCATGGCGTTAGGTGTCTTTTTAATTGTTGGACTAGTCACTTATCACTAAGGGTCTCAAAAAAAGGGGGTGGGCGGGTTTTTTGGCTCACAGAAAAATGGAAATGGGTGGAGAGTGCTTCTCCGCTAGAGTTGGGGGTGGCTTTGCTATAGTGGCTGGGGTGAGTCTTCCTACATGGCTAGGCGCCCAGTCCTAAAAAGCTGCAGGGTTTCCTACCGTATCTTTTCCCAATAGACTTGAAGTTCTTCATAGGCAGGCAGGGTCGAAATTTTTCTATTAAAAAAGATGCACTCCTATATGAGGATGGGAAAATTAGACCAGAGATGATAGAGGAAGGTGTTCAGTTCAAAAAAGATACGATAGTCATAACAGCTTCAAAGGGTTTTGTGTGAATAGTTTCTTTGCAATTCAACAATAGATGTATATGGTTTCCAACCCCCCCAAAATGATGCTATATTGCATTTCTGATAAAAGATTTTCTTGTCAACAGAAAAATAAGGTGACTTCTAAAATATCATTGGGATATGAATTCAATCTTCAAGCTAGTTAAGAAATCATAACATAATTTAATTGATCCTACTGGACGCTGAGCTTTGCTCTAATGATAAGAGCGCAATGCGTGATGACCTATCCATGAGAAAGAGAGCGTTGCGCGTGATTTGTAGATCAGGCGCACTGCACGAGTTTGAATCCTGCCGCACACATAAGCGCCCGGATATAAGTGGAATAGGTAGATGGGTGGGGTCATTATCCACCGAGCTTCGAACCGTGTGCTTGCTGGCGCTCCGGAATTTCTCAGTTAGAGAAAAAAAATTAACTGATCCTATTTTTCCTATTGAAATTTATAGATCTGCCTTACTGGTGCTTTAAATTATCTACACAAAGCATATGTATGCACATACACTTGTGTTATGTTGTCTTAACTTTGGTAACTTCCAAGTTGTCTTTTGATGGAGATGTTGTATGTCAATGGAGAAGGAGTACATGATCTCTCTTTATAATCTCAAATTTTCACTTCCACTGCAGAAAGTAGAGAACAGAGTAAGGATACTCAGTGACTTGAGAGAACTTGCTTCATCTGAGAGCCCTGATTCCTTCACACTGGTTTACACAAATATTTTAGAACAGCAACCGGACTGTCCAGTAAGTTTTCTTGTCTGCTCTTGTCCATGCAAAGAAATCTCAAAACCGAGATATGAATCTAAATGTCAGTTAAAAATTGAATCTACCGTTTGGAAGCTGGTGGTTAAAATCATTATCTTGTTGTTCTGTGATAATCCCTATTATTGAGCATTGTTACTCTCAACTGCAGCCAGAAGTGGTTGAAAAGATTGTGGGTCTGCGAGAAGGCATACCGCGAAAAGATGCAAAAGAGGTATACATGTGTTATCTAAGTGGCACACATGCTCAAAGTTTTAGTTCAAAATTTGAACTATCTGAGAAAAGGATATTGCTACTCATTAGTAGTTCTTTTGTTCACACTTTCTACATTACATCCTGCCAATGCATTAGTGAAGTGGTTAACATGTTGTTTTAGTAAGTTGCCATTATTTGCCATGCTTTAAGGCTACAAGATTTAATGTTTCTTTTTTCGCCATTAAAAATCAAAAGTCATTGTTTTCTATGTTGCGCGGACTCTCCAAAATACTGCCGCACCCGTGTCGGATTCTCCAATAATACACTGCTTTTGGAGAATCCGACACGCACCCGGCGATATTTTCGGAGAGCCCGAGCAACATAGATTGTTTTGCTATTACTTTTGATAATATATTTACTCAATATAAATATATACATTCCATATAAAAGCAGAAGCTTGTCGACGTCAGGCTTCTTTATGACCAAACCATGTTAGAGACTTCTCCAAATTATTTGTCGATCCCTTCTAAACATCTATTGCAAGAGCTCTGGTATTGTGCTTCGATTTTTTTTTACTTTTCTGCTGCACCTGTTTCTAAATTACATGAACTTGTTCCAAGACTCATTTACCTGTAAAAATATCAAAAGCATTAAGCTCTTGGTTCTCATGCATTTGCAGCGGCTCCTTATATTAGTGAGCCCTCTAAGGCTGTTCGTTATCTTTGAGATGATAACTTTGGTTTCTCTTTATTGCTTTCTTGATGAGGATTTCTTTGTGAAATAGGTTGTCCAAGAATGCAAAGAAATCTATGAACATTCTCTGGTGGATGGAAATCCCCCAAAGACAGGTTTTGTTTTCCCCAGGGTGAAGTGCTTATCAGCTGCAAAACATTCCATATGGCGAAAGCTGACATAATCCAACTGCTGCAACAAGTCGTTTGTTGCAATCTGAAGAAAATTTCCTGTACATGCCTTAATCATAAATGTACAGATTGGGACTATAGTTTCTACGTATTTATATGTTCTGATTAATTAGCCCATTTATACGGATGTTAGTTGCCTTTACCAAATATGTATTCATTTTATTGTCCAGTATCAATTTTGCAACTGTTGTAGTTTCAGTATTGTCACTCCGGTTGTACGTGTGATGATTGTTTGATAATAGGTCAGTTGAGTTCATGTAGTCTCTCTCGTGTGCGTGCGCGAATTCCTAAAATTAGCAATGAAGAAATTCCTTCTTGTATCCTCGCCTTCTCCCTATTTTTGTAGCATAAAAACTTGTAAATTTAGTGCTAATTTCTGTAAGATATTTATTCATGGAAATGCCAACTAGGCAATCAACTAGTTAGCCACTGCCACGCTGGTTTAAGAATTGTAATTGTGGACACGAATACAATTAAATACGCAATTTAGGAACTCAAATCATAGATGGGGTGATTCTTCACTCTTTTAACCTTGAGAACTGTACAGAGAAAAGGACAGTTTTCGTTCTCATTCGTAAATCGTAAAAATACCAAATAGCTGTAGATGTTATGAGCAAGTTTCTTCTCAGCTTTGGACTGCTTCAAAGAATTATCTCTAGTAAGAGTTTTACTTGGTTAACTCCAAACAAAAAAGAAAATAGAATAGATGTAAAATAGGGATGAAGGAAATAATATTCTATTCATTCCAAATCACGTATTTTTCATGCAAGTGTTATTTTCTTGTATAAACATATGATCACTTGACGTCTGTGCTAGATTGCCACTTTATGCGAGTTTACGTTACGAGTTTCAAAGGTGATAGATTAGACCTGCTGGTTTGTATTAGAAAAAATAAATTATGTAGTATTGTCATGAGATTGTTCAGATGGAGCGTAATGAATACTGAAGATTAATATAGTCGCTTTTAACTAGTTTAGGATTAAGATGTAACTGTTGTTGTCATAAACAAGTACTTAAAACTCTTGCCTCTGAACATGTAAGAGAGGAAACAAATGATAGGAGGACAGAGGAGGCACTAGGCAGAGAGAGATCAAATTTGAGCGAAAAAAATTAACAAACCAAAAATATGAAATTCAGAAATTCCGCATTATGCTTGCTCTAATCATGTCAAAGAGAGGGAATTAAGGATAAAGGTTGACACAAACAATCGTCAAAGGAATAATGCAATTTGTACTTAAACACTTCTCCACTTGCTCCACTTGACCAAACCACAAATAAGAACAGAACACTCATCTTAACTCATTTTTTATAATTAGCTTATCTTAGTGCTAATCAGTGGAGTCTTATTTTATTAATAAACACCATTAAGCTTCTGTCATTTCACAAGTATATAAATCCCATCTCATTTCCATCCCTCCATAGTCAAGAAAATTCTTTGAATCCTCAACCCCATTTAAAAGCAAAAAAAAAAAAGAAGCGAAAATGGAAAATATTATTCCTCAATTGCATGTTAGAAATTTAGGTAGAAGAAGCTCAAGACATTCAACAAAATATCATGGTGTAAGAAGAAGGCCATGGGGTAGATATGCTGCTGAGATTAGAAATCCAAACACAAAACAAAGGCATTGGCTTGGCACTTTTGATACTGCTGAAGAAGCTGCTTTGGCTTATGATATTTCTTCTATTGCTTTTTGTGGCATTGAAAATGCACGTACTAATTTCGTTTACCCATTCATGTCTTTTCCTTCATCTTCTTCTCAACCACCACCATCACCACCACCTCCTCCGCCGCCACCACCACCATCAACACCAGAGTTAGAAGTGATTGAAAATGAAGAAGATGATAATGATAATGATAATGATGATGATGAGTCTCTTGTTATTGCTTCTATTTTACAAACTTTTCGCCATTCAAACACATTAGACAAACTAGCTCTTTGAGGATATCTTCAATTAACAGTTTTGAACTTATTTTTCCTTTTTTTAGCTTTTTTACTTTTTCTTTTGTATTATTTCTTGAGGGTCAAAGAAAAAAAAGTTATGCTCTTTTATCTTTTAATTATCAAACTGTATTTTCTCCATTGACAAGTTCCAACAACTTTGAAGAACTATTAACTTGTGAACACTTTTCCGGTGTGGAGATTATTTGGTTCTTTTGCTCCATATCATGGAAGTTATTAATATATGTAAACTATAAATGATATGTAAACTATAAATGATATGATAAAATTTGATGTGATGATCTTCAAAACTAGTATACCCCCTATGGCGTCCATGTAATATGAACTCCCTCTATCTCAAATTATCTGTCGTAATTTTTTTTACACGCCTCTTAAGAAATATTAATTAAGAAAGAGATTAGACTATTTTACCCTTATTTATGATTTAAGATAAAATCTCTTTTCATTAAATATTTATTCTATTTATGTGTTATCTCCATCTTCAAGAATAATTATTACTAAGTGTAAGAAAGGAAAAAAAATTAATTTTGTCTTGAAATTCTAAAATGACAAATAATGCACTTGACACTGGAAACAAGGAGTGCTATGATTTTTGGGGTCTACACTCACATGGTAGAAGAATTGTGAATGAGGATAAAATGCAATGTCCATATCTAAGGGTAAAAGTTGCAAGACAATAAGGGGAGAAGAAAAGGAAGAACCAGGAGCTATCATGATCACATACAATGCTCAAATCAGTATAGAGGAGGGCATGGTTCTGCAGGTTTTTACTAACATTGTTTTTTTTTTGTTTTGCAGGATCTGTGTGTATGCTAATGTTTTGCTAGTTACTAGAATTTCGAGAGGTGGTATCAATGCTATGCATTCAACACTGCAGGAACATTGGTGCAGATGCTTCAGTTTGCAGTTGAAGGGCAATGTGCTGCCTAAAGTTAGCAGCAACACGAATTTGTCACGGAGGCTGGGGATGCAAGGAGGTAGGCAGCAAATATGCAGTAGCTGGCTTATGAGCTGATGCAATTGGAGGTAGAAATGGGATACAACCTAGAAGGATCAAAGTCTAAAATGCAGAAATCAAACTTTAGGATGTTAAAACAAACATGGTACATCAGTGGTGCACATCATCAATTAAGAGAACAACAAGCAATGAAGAAAAGAAGCTTTCAGATGGCATGGGACACATATGTACATTCATTGTGGACAGCTGAGCTGTACAAGCGCAACTGGATGAAGCAAACGTGGATCTACCCTATGCAACAGCAGAAAGAAAACACAACACAAGCTACAACGACTCAGGCAGCCTTGGGTACATTTAACAGTAGGAGTTGGTTTGTAGGTCTTCATACTACTTTGGTTATACATGACCTTATGAGGAGCTTGCAGCTGGTGGTATTAGTACTTGGTACTCAGCCCAGTACAAGTGAATCATGGGGGAGTGTGATCACAGTAGCATCGATAGGAAGTAGTGACAGTTCAGTTCAACAATATATATTCACTCAATCATTGAGCAGAATTTAGCCTCAATTTTCTGGTAATGTAGCTGTATGTCACACGCAGTATCACAGTTAACTCAGAGGTCAAATAGCATAATGGGGTCATGCTTCAGCAGAGGATACAGTCATGAAATGGAACTCAAAAATGCATGCTGAAACTGAGATGGAGAAGGCAACTCACAGGGCAAGTTTGGCTGGATTTTTCAAACAGGAAGAGACCAAGAGGGAACAAGAATACAACATATCATCAGAACAGGAAATGCAAAGATGGAACGCAGAAATGGAAATCAAGCACATGCATAAAAATGGCAGATAAGATTGAAAACAAAGTAGAGGCAGCTGGTCAAGAAAAATTAGTTCAATGTTTCATTGGCATTGGAATCAGAAGGTTATTTTGGCATTCGATCATGGTATGGACGACAACAACAATTAGGATTAGAGTAGCTACACATTTGTGATATCAATGTTGAGGTCGCTACTCAATGTTGGTAATAGGACTAATGTAATTTTCAAGTTTGTTATTTTCATTGCTTAAGACCTCCAGACAAAATTTTGTACTCTTTTGATTTTTATTAATAAAACCTAGGCACTGCCTAGTGGATTACCAAAAAAAAAAAAAAAAAAAAAAAAAAAAAAAAGACAAATAATTTGAGACAACTATTTTTAGTAATCACGACTGATAATATGAGACGGAGGGAGTACAAATATGTATATTAATGGAAAGTTTTCATCTCGTGCAACCATGGTCTCCCCAAAATAATATTGTAGCCCATATCACCATCTACTACCTCGAAAAAGATTGTCTTCATCACCCCCTCGGCATTCGTAGGCAGCAGGATCTCTCCCCCGGTTGTCACACTTGCCAGATTGAGCACAGCGAGGAGTTTTGTGGCCGAACTTCCGGTCAGCTTGACTTGCTCCAACACTCTCCACTGGATAATATTGGCCGAACTTCTTGGGTCCACCAAAACAAGTTTAATTTTAAAATATAAGACATTTAAAGAGATTACCAAGGCATCGTTATGCGGCGACAATAGTCCATATGCATCTTCCTCCGTGAAAGTAATGTCGTCCTCAATGACTTTTCAGAGTCCCTTACTATGGGTTACTAATACCTTCATCTTCTTTGTCGTCGAAAAAGTCACACCATTAATCTCGTTTCCCCCGAAAATCATGTTGATTGTCAAACCTGGAGGATCTTCTCTTTCTTTCAAAGGTTCCGTGTTATCACGATTGCGGCCGTAGTTGTTTTTATCTCGGTCGCTTAAGAATTCTCTAAGATGGCTATTTTTTTAGTAGTGCTGCCACCTTCTCACACAAATACCGACAGTCCCCTGTCCGGTGGCTGTTGGTCCAATGGTATTCGCGTCACAAATTAGGATCCCTTTGGCTGGGATCAGATCTCATTGACTTTGGCAACTGTGCCGCTTTAATATTTCTTATAGCTGACACCAGCTCCACTATGCTGACGTTGAAGTTGTATTCAAAAAGCCTGGGGTACGACGAATCTAGAGAACCTGATATCTACTTGTTCCACAATGACATGTTATTCTGGCTGCAATTAGCTCTCCTATCAGTAGCGAATCTATACGCCGACCAAAAACCTCTGTTGCATCCTTCGGTCCTTTCATAGGGCAAAAACCAACCCCTTGAGGACTATCGATCTGTGTCGAAATCATCCTTTGATTTCTCCTTATTCTTTTTCCCAGTCCCGGCCTTTGGCTGATGCCGAAAAACCGAGCTGATCATCTTCAATTCTTATCTTTGACTCGTACCGGTTGTGAACATCCATCCATGTTGTTTCTTGTAACTCGAGCAAACTTTCTTTTAATTTTTGGGAGGCATCGGAACTTCTCAGATTCAACCCTTTAGTGAATGCTTCAGCTGCCCACTCATTTGGTACGGTCGAGAGCAACATTCTTTCTTTCTGGGATCTCTTCATGAACTCTCGTAGCAATTTAGGCTCTCTTTGTGAAATCCTGAATATGTTAACCTCACGGGCTTGCACCTTCCTAGCCCCGGCATAGGCCTTTGTGACGACCCGGCCAGTCGTCTCATGAGTTACCGCTCCATTTCCCCCATTTCAGCTTCTTTATGCTTCGTTATCCGTGTTTTATGGGATCAAGATGATTAGTTCGAGTTCGGAGAGGATTTGGTAAGAAATGAGACACTTAATCTCTTTTAAGAAGGCTTAAGTTGGAAAAGTCAACCGGATATTGACTTATGTGTTAGAGGGTTCGGATGTGAGTTCCGATGGTTCGGTTAGCTTCGGTAGGTGATTTGTGACTTAGGAGAGTGATCGGAAGTGGTTTTGGAGGTACGGTGTAGAATTAGGCTTGAATTGGCGAAGTTAGTATTTTGGCGAATTCCGGTTGATAGGTCAGATTTTGATCCGAGGGTCGGAATGGAATTCCGAGAGTTTTTGTAGCTTCGTTATGTCATTTTGGACTTGTTTGCAAAATTTGAGTCCATTCGGACGTGGTTTGGTTGGGTTTTTGATCAAAAATGGAATTTGGAAGTTCTTGAGATTCATAGGCTTGAATTCGAGGTGATTTTGGTGTTAGTCGAGGTGTTTTGATGATTGGAACAAGGTTGAATAATGTTTAGGATGCGTTAGTGCTTTTGGTTGAGGTCCCAGGGGCCTCGGGTGTGTTTCGGGTGAGTTTTGAGCGTGTACGGACACTCCGGAACTTAGAAAAATGGAGGGAGCAGCAGTTTTGGCGCGGACCGCGCTCCTTTTCGCGCTG